TCCCCCTGGTCTCCCGCCCCCACGCTCTGCCCCGAGAACCAGTTACATAATGGCTTTGCCAAGAACGTGTGCGCCCCGCTCCCGTCACAGGTGAAACTTGAACACTGCCCCTTTGATATTTTCTCCCAATGAGGCTTCCCAGGCTTCTTGCCTTTTTAGGATGGAAACAAACGCTCTGCTGTTATCCTCTTCATATTTATCAGCTCGGTTTACTGGCAGAGTGGAAGAGTGAATGGGCATTGTATACATAAATATCATAAAATCCACAGAGGGCTGGCGAGCCCGAGTTCTTAATCCGGGCTCTGTCACTAACAATTTGCAACTCAAAGAAGTCACTCTCTCTCTGTTTTCTCTGTCTCTAAAGTAAATAAAGGATAACCCATTAGAAAAAAAATCAATTGGTGCTCTGAAGAAAGGAGGGGGTTTAGACAACACTCTAAGTTGGGCTGAAAATACGTTTCCCAAGTTTTTGCTAATGTTGAAAATGGACAAAGCCCTGTCTCCACCTCACCCCATCAGTTCTCAGCCAGAGTACTGTGATGTCTCTTACCTGATCTCCAAGCTCCATGTTCTTGTTTGTCCTTCTCCCCAGCTGTCACCTGCTGGGCGCCCCTCACTCCTTGCCTTACCCTGCATGCACAGTTTCTAAGAGGGGCCCCAGCCATGCGCCTCAGGGCCTTTGCTTATGCTCTTCCCTTTGTCTGGAATGCTCTTCCCCAGCTAGCATCAGGTATTTCCCTGTAAGGTCCCTGGAAACCCTCCCTGCCCAGCAGACCTGAGCTCCTCGAGGGCACACCCTCAGTTATCTCCAGGATACAGCCGGCCCTGCGCAGACACGGATGGGAACGGGGCGGGCAAGGGCAAAACCGAAGGCTTCTCTCTACGTCTCCAGGATGGGCAAAACCTGTCCCACAGATTTAGGTTAGAAGAGTACTGTTTCCATCCTGGGCTCCCTTGAATCTGCGTTTACTGCCACCCCAGTTTGAGACAAGACATTTTTCCAATATTCTCTTTTAAAAACACAACATTTAAGCACCCAAATGAATGCATTTTTATATAGACACTGACTGCAGGAGGTTACCTCTTGCCCCTGAGCCCTTGCAGAAGATGGTCTAACCAAAGCACCTGTCTCAGCCTGGAAAACTGCGGGGCTGCCTCTTAGGGCAGAAGCGTCATGGCGATCCAATGCATCCGGGGACCACCTGCCTGGGGGCTGCCTCCCACACCACCCACATAGAAACGAGGAACCCTTCCGTGGTGGGACCCCTGCAAAGGACTCAGCAGGGAAACTACCTGAGGGTCATGGTCACATCACGTTTATGTTTCTGGACACTAGCTCCAAAACTCTACCCGCCCGTGAGTCCCCGCCCTCCCACTAGCCTGTGCATCCCTGCCCTCTCGGTGGGTGAATCCCAGCCATGTCAGCAAGCAGTGGGGACAGTCAGCTTCATACAACCAGGGAGCAAACGCTGAGGCCAGGCCCCGGCCTCAAGCCACTCCTCAGAGAAGGAAGGCAGCCATGGAGGGCAGTGAGAACCTTCCCCTACAATTCTAAAGGAGATGGGGGAGCACCTGGCTCCTATGCAGGTGGGAGACCCTGGCTGGGGTGCTTTTTGGGTTTCACTGGGGTTTAGAAGTCAAGTGTTGCTCAGCTTTCTCCTCTCTGGATTGTAGGTGATTCTAAGACAGGATCCCATTCAGCGTGGCATTCCCTCCCCGCCCTGCTGCCCCGAGTCCATACACATGGGCTGTGCTCATCTTGAGTCCCAGTGCTGTGTGCCAGGGACAGAAAGTGGGAGATGGGCCACCACTGTCACATTTCGTCTCTGAGGGGCCAGTGAACGAACTAGAGGGTGCCAATCACTCTGCTCTCTCTCAAACCTTGCTGAAATGTCACCTCGGGAAGGTTTCTCCTGACCCCCTAATTCATATTGCCACTCCCCCTTCCCCGGCACCCCCTCTGCTCTCTCCTGCTCTATCACCATATGTCGGATGGTTACTTTCCCCGCTTAACTGGACCTCTCTCTCTCACTCTGCTAGACGGAGGGGAGGGATTTTTGTTTTACTCAGTGACAAATCCGCATTCCTAGAACAGGGACCGACACGTAGTAGGTGTTCAGCAAATGTCGGATGAATACATCTGCAGACTTGGCATTCGTTTCATAAATGTCTGCTCACTGAGAATGCGGTCTCCAGGCAAGTGAAGACGTTAATAACCACTTACTAGATTCCCCAAATAGTGTGGGGCACTGAGTCCATAAAAGGTACACTCTTTTCCATTGGCTCCCTGTTGTCTTTGCAGTAATCCAAATTCCTTCCAGAAATGGTCTCTGTCTGCTTCACTTCCTTCTGCTCTTCCCAGCACACACCAGACTCCACCTCCTGGACACTCTGAGCTCGTTCACACCTCAGGGCCTTTGCATTTGCTGTCCTTGCTGCCTGATGGCTCATCCCTCAGGGGGTCACATGGCTGTGGGGCCCTAGCTTAAATGTCACTTTTCCTTAGAGTCCTTCCTGCCCACCCAACCCAGTTACCCCAGCACCCATCACAGCTCCACTTTATTGTCTGCATAGCTCTTAGCAGGGTCTGAAATGATCTCAATCATTTATTTGATCATAGTACGTTTATTGGAGAATCTCGACCACCTTACTTTCCCTAATTGCTTTATTCTGTCCCGCTCCGTTGATCCCCACTTCCCCCTGGGTCTTCATGACAGCGAGATCCCACATGGTGCAGGTGCTCTCGCTCATTAGAACTCAGACCAGGCCAGTTCAAAACCCCATCCTGGCTCAGAGTTCCTCTACAGAAGGGGCAGGAATGGGGAGCAAGGGCTTTGTCTTCTCCTCTCTCTGGGGTGCCTCGGAGCAGAGGGGTCAGGGGTGGGCTACTTCCGTTTCCCTCGCACGCCTCTCTGGGTCTGCTTCTATCCGCCGCTGTCTCTGTGGAGATGGGTGTCTGGTCGTTTTGGGGCAGAGACTCCTCCGTGGCTGGCACCTCCTCAGGAGGTGGCAGGCATACCCCCCCACTTCAGCCCTGCCAGCAGAATAGGCCCCAACCTTTTCCAGGTGGGAAGCAGCTCCCTTTGCCCACGATCCGTCTGGGGGGCCCACTGACTCTGCTCTATGTGGATCCTTATATGAGCCCTCTGGGGGTCTTGCACAACTGAGTTGGGGGCACCTGCTCTTCCTGCCGGTGACACAGGCTTCTCCCCACCAGGTCCCCCTGGAGCAGGCACAACTCCGGGGCATGCGTGCCGAGCTCCCCCGAGGGCACCCTCAGCACCCCGCGCCTGCAGCCGGCACGAGGCTCCTGCACTCAGCGGGCACCCAGCGGGGGAGGGAGGCGCCAGCCTCTTGTTGGCAGTGCCCTCGGCCTCAGGAGCATTCTCTGGGGCTGGGGCAGGAGCTGGGGGGGGCACCCACTCACCAACAGCCCATCTCCCCGCACTCCCTCCTCTCGACCGCTCAGCTTTCTTACACAAACAGGGAGGGGGCAGTGGCGAGGAGCACAGGGGCCCCGGGGCTGGTTCCTGGCAGCAGGGCCAATTCTGCCCCAGGGAAGGTGTCTGGCCCCAGCCTTTTGGGAGCTCTTAGCATCTCTTTGTCCACAGCAGTGGGTCCCAGTAACCAATTCTGGGGCAGCTGGAAATGCCCCCTCCGTGGCTCCTTGGTTGTTTTTTGTAGGTTTCCCTTGTGGGCCACGTGACACGAGATCAGCACTGCTGGCGCCTAGAGAGAAGCCTGACACACTGTAGGTCCTCGGGAACCGCCGTCCGAAAGGGTGACTCAGCAGGAAGCCTGCTGGCTACTGTGAGCTCACGTAGAGAAAGGACCAGAAGAGGAAGGGGCTGGACAGGGCCTGACGGGGTGATGCCATGTGCCCCCACCGATGCCTTTCACCCGTTAGCTGACTTCTCATGGTGGCCTCAAGGGGCAGCCTAGCCATCACCCTTCGCAGATGGAAAAGACCTCCACCTGCTCCAGGCCAGGCCGAGCTCGGGGGTGGGGGGCGCGAAGGGGCAGCGGCTGTGCACAGGGCTCTGGTGTCCGTGATCCTGCTCTGCCCCCCTTAGCTCAGTTACTGGATTCTCGGACTCCGGTCCCTCGTTTGTAGAAGCGGATGGTAAGACTACGTTGTAAGGCTTGAGTCAGCCCATACAGGTCATGTGCTTAGTTCAGGTGGAGACACGGCAGGTCATAAACCACCCAGAGTAATTGTCATCATCATCACTGGCATCGGGACAGACCCAGGTCTGTCCACCCCAGAAGCTGACGCGCTGCATGAAGCCCCCCGCCCCCACGAAGCGGGAGGGGGGGATGCCTGACAGTGGGCGAGGGGGAAGCCCTCGGGGGCACCGGGGCCGAAAGAAGCCGAGGCCCCCAGCAACGGTGACTGGCGGGCCTTCCGTGCCAGACCGTGGCGCACAGCCCTGATGTAAAAGGCACTGAGGAACCTCTGTGGTCTTTCATCAGGGGAGCGAAACGATGAAAGTGAGGTTTTAGGAAGATTAATCTGGCAGCAGGCACGGGATGGAAAAGAGTCAAGCTTAGCGCTAAGAATTACGGCTGTCGCCCGGCTCCGAGAGGCGGGTCATTAAAGGAAAGTGGCCTGGTTCTCGGCTCCCTGGGCACTCAGGGTTCCCGGCAGCTGGGAGGGGCTGGGCGCCGTACTCCGGAGGAGGCCCCGAGGCGGCCGGCAGAGGGCACCGTTTGGTCAGTGACCGTGGCCACCGCAGGGGACGGCAGAACAGGCAGCAAACCCGAATCCGTCAGGAGGAGGCAGAGCTGTGGGCCCCTCAGCTGTGGGGCCAGTTCCGAGCCGAGCATCCCACCATGGGCCGTGCTGTCGGGGCAGGCCCTTCGGGGCCGGCAGGACCGCCCACTCTGACAGGTGGCGGCCCCCGCAGGTGCCAGGCCACCAAGGTTCTGAGCGCCGCCCTGGAACTGGCAGCCAAGGGGCAAGACGGAACCAGGGCCGCCCCGGCCAAGAACGGAAGGAGTGGCGGCTCCTACATCTTCTCATTTTATTTAAAGCTGTCAGGATGCATTGGAAGTCGTCGAGGCAGTTCCAGCTTCTCTCCTCCCCGAGGAGCCCGAGGCCCCGCCAGCTCCCCAGTGGCGCTGTGCCGTCGTGGGGCACTGCCCGCCCCCGGCCCTCACAGCAGCGCCTGGAAAACCTCCACCTTCTCCCGGTACAGGTGGTGAAACTGCTTGGCCAGGCAGTGGAAGGGGGCTTCGTAGTTTTCCATCTCCTTCTGCAGAGGCAAGGTGAAGAAGCCCGTGTTACCACCTCATCAGGACTCACGCTCCCCTCACGTCAGGGGCCACACACGCTTGGCCTCCTCTGGCCCGCACGCCAGCGCGGCTGGCTACTACCGCGCCCTCGGTACGAGGAGGAAACTGAGACACGCACAGGTTAAGCAACTGGCCAAAAGCCTCACGCCCGTCAGTGGTGGGGCTGGGTCTGCACCTGGGTTTCTACAGAGCCTGGGCTTTCAGCCACGCTCGCCCCACGTGTGACGGGATGTTACAGTGAGATTCTTCTCGCTTAGTTTTCACTGGGGCCCTCAAAGGCCATTGCAAAATAACAGATGGCAAGGACTCCCCCCGCCCCACTCCGGAGGGAGGGCCAGATGGGATGGGCCCACCCTGACCTCGAGTCGGGCAGAGCCGTGGCACAGACCCCTGTCTGGGGAGGCTCTCCCTCACCTCGAGCTCAGTGGGAGGCTCCAAGAGAAAGCCCGAGGCTCAGGGGCTCAGGCCAGTGCTGGAGCCAGGCCTGGGGAACATCGAGGTTGGCCCGGGGCTGGCGGTGTTGACGGCTGAGCCAGGAGAGCCAGCCTGGAGCTGCCCTAAAGGGACTCTGCAGGGACGGGCTCCAGGAGGGGGGATGGGCCCCAGCCAGAACCGAGGGCCAGGAACCAAGGCTGCAGGACAGGTGAGGAGGAGTGACCTATGAACTGCAGGGGGAGGTTCTGCCAATGGGCCAGGGAGGGGGCATCACGGAAGCGCTCCCAGGGCGCCAGCCTGAGACACCCGGCAAGTCCAGAGGGGCTGCGGCGGGTCCCAGCCCAGCTGCCTGAGCTCCCCACTGAGCTCCCTCTCCCGCAGGGGGCGGGCTGGGTGGGGAGGGGCAGGTGCAGGACCAAGGACCGCCGGCCTGGCCCCGCTTCCCACAGCAGGTGTGGGAGGGGGCACTGACTGGAAGTGGTGAGGAGTTTTCAGGCACCCAGCACGGTGCATCTTCATAACTGAGATGAGTATTTTGTGACTAAAGGTGCCCAAAGGACTTCCTGTTCTCTGAGAGATTAGCCAAGTTCTGGAACTGGCCCTAGATGTTCTCTACGGGGTGGGAAGAACCGGCCCCCCAGGGTGAGCATGGCCAAGCTCTAGGGGAAGGAAAATGGTAGCCTCTCAGCTCAGCTAGTGTTCTGTCACTCTCCGTGTGCACGTTTTTTTTTTTTTTTTTTTTTTACGAAGTAGGTTGGCAGAAGAAAGAACCCGCTACTTTGAGCACAGAGGCTCAAGCTACGCACGCACAAGAAGCCGTCTTCAGACGATCCTTGGGAGCTGGCAAAAGGGCAGCCTTGACAAGAGGCAATGATATGCCCCAACGAAAGGGAAGGATTTCCAAACTGCAGAATGTCCTGAAGTCATCGAGCTCAGTGCCCTCGCTCTGCAGGCGAGCAGCCTGTGGCCCAGGGGTGCAGTGGCTCAGCTGGGGTGCGTGGAGCCCAGCCTAGGATTTGAGTTCCCCAACTGGAGAAGAGCAGCCTTTCCACCCTGCCAGCCGGGGAGACAGAAACACACAATGGAAACCGGTTCTCATGGAGAACGTTACCTGGACTTTCTCACAAGGGAAATCCCAAGAGGAAACGGGACAAGTTAGCCAAGAGCAGAAACAGAGGTGGCGCTGCTGAGGAACGAGGGGACAGTTTGTAGTGAGACGAGCACCCGCACTAAGTGCACGACTGCTGAGGACCATCAGCTCCCCAGTCGGACAGAAGAGAACTAACTCGGTCACATCCGCAAGGCACGTTTGGTGGTACAGAACATAATGTCCCAGGCAACGCCAATGTCAATGGTAAAACGTTACACTGGGGGTGCCTGGGTGGCTCAGTCGGTTGGGCATCTCTTGATTTCCGCTCAGGTCATGATCTCAGTGTTGTGGGATCGAGCCCTGTGTCGGGCTCTGTGCTGGGCGTGGAGCCTGCTTAAGATTCTCTCTCTCCCTCTCCCTCTGCCCCTTCCCCTCCTCCCTCTCTAAAAAAGAATGTTACACCAGTTGAAAGCATAGTTTAGTAATGAGCAGACAGAGAATGAGGCCTGCATAGGACACACACGAGGATTTCCAAATGAATTTGAAAGCTCCTGAAAGCAAGATCTGGGGAGAACACAACACAAAAAGTAAAGAATTCAGCGGAGATGAGCCTTTATATATGCCATGGAGCACTCCTGAAGTAGCAGATGTAAACCAGACCATTTTCTGAATGCATTACGAGAATTTGCGATGACAGGAATCCTTTTGTTAAATGACTAATCACAATCTCACTGACACACTACAGAGTACGTTTGCTTTGTGTGAAAAGATCCTTAGAACAGGCTCCCAGACTAGCGCTCAATCTGGCCTAGAATTCTGCCCCTGAGAGTCCCAAAGTAGGTTCCGTGGGAGGCCAGAGCTCCTTCTAGAAGGTTCTCAAGCTTAGACCAGCTTTCTGTTCCTGGCTTGGCTGCTCACGGGCTGAGCGACCAGAGAGAGTCACACACCCTTTCTGAGTCTGCTCGTCATCTGGACAGCGATAGCACTGGCCGTCTTGTAGGGCTGCTAGAAGCTTCAGCAGATAATGTCTGCAGACAGCTAGCACACAGTAGGCGCTCAACAAAGGTCAGCTCCCTTCCCTCACCCGGCTGCAAGAGGAGTCCTCCCCACAGATCCTTCTTGAACTTGCTTGTGTTTAATACTGTCCCACAGTAATAAACTTTTTTTTAACATGCTTCAAAAATGTTTTTTAATTTTTTGGTCTGAACATGTCAAATATCAAGGGGTATTAGAAAGTCCAAGAAAGGGGGGGGGGACGCCTGGGTGGCTCAGTCAGTTAAATGTCTGACTCCTGATTTCGGCTCAGGTCATGATCTCAGGGATCGAGCCCCCACATTGGGCTCTGCGCTCAGTGTGGAGTCTGCTTGGGATGCTCTCTCTCCCTCTTCCATTGCTCCTCCTCCCACTCACGCTCTCTCTCTCTCTCAAATAAATAAATAAAATCTTTAAAAAAGTCCAAGAGGATCTACAAAAAATGCCAAATAGCCAAAGCAATCCTGAGAAAGAAGAACAAAGTTGGAAGCATCACACGTCCTGATTTCAAACTATATTATAAAGTCATAGTCATCAAAACAGAATGGTCCTGGTATAAAAACAGACACAAAAGCCAATGGAACAGAATCGAGATCCTAGAAATAAACCCCTGCCTACATGGGCAACTAGTATTTGACAACGGAGCCAAGAATACTCAATGGAGAAAAGCTGACCTCTTTAATAAATGATGTTGGGAAAACCGGATATTCATATGCACGAGAATGAAACTGGACCCCTGTTTTATACCATTCATAAAAATTAACTCAGAATGGATTCAAGATTTGAACTTAAGACCTGAAACCATAAAACTCCTAGAAGAAAACATTGGGAAAAAGCTCTTGGACATGGAACTTGGCCATGATTTTATGGCTATAACAGCAAAGCACAAGCAACAGAAGCAAAAATCAGTAAATGGGACTACATCAGACTAAAAGGCTTCTGCACAGCGAAAGAAACCATCAACAAAATGAAAAGGCAACCTATGGAATGGGAGAAAATATCTGCAAACCACACATCTGAGAAGGGGTTAATATCCAGAATATGTAAGGAACTTGGGTAACTCCACAGCAAAAACATCGATAATCCGATTTAAAAAATGGGCAGAGGAGCGAGTAGACATTTTTCCAAAAAGGATATTCAGGCGGCCACCAGGCCCATGAAAAGGTGCGCAACACCACTCATCAGCAGGGAAATGCAAATCAAAACCACAATGAACTATCACCTCACACCTGTTAGGATGTCTATTACCCCAAGGACAAGAGATAACAAATGTCGGCGAGGATGTGTGGAAAAAGGAACCTTTGTGCGCTGCTGGTGGGAACGCAAGCTGGTGCAGCCGCTGTGGAAAACTGTATGGAGGTGCCTCACAATGTTAAAAATAGAGCTACGATATAATCTAGCAATTCCACATCTGGGTAAATAGCCAAAGGAAATGAAATCACTACCTTGAAGAGATACCCGCACCCCTACATTCACTGCAGCATTATTCACAATAGCCAAGACATAGAAACAACCGAAGTGTCCGTCAACGGATGAATTAAAGACATTGTGGTTGGTATGCATATGGCCATGATGGAATAGTATTCAGCCACGAAAAGGGGGGCATCCTGCTATTTGTGACAATGTGGATGACGCCTGAGGGCGTTATGCTTGGTGAGACAAGGCAGACAGAGAAAGAAATATACCGCATCTTCTCACTTATACGTGGAATCTAAAAACGCCCTAATCCTAGAAACACAAAGCAGACTGGTGGTTGCCAGGGGTGGTGGGGGACACGGGTGAAGGTGCATTGAAGGGTGCCAAGTTCCAGTTTTAAGACGAGTGAGTTCTGGAGATGGAATGACGAGCGAAGAGAGAAGGTCAGACGACCACATGGGCCCCTCCTGGTCCGCAGGACTGTGGCTGCCGCGTAGTCAGGAGGGCGGAGCCGGGCGCTAGGTGTCAAGGCTTGGCTGCGTCTCGGGCAGCGTTGGGTTATATTTCCTTTTTAATTACAGCTTTCTTAACCGAGCTGCCAGTGGTGCTTCTGTTAGCATCAACTTGGGGGACTAGTTAACTTACACAGTTAATACCGAGTGCTTAACTGCAGCCTCCTCCGGCGTAATTTACCAGCGTAGCAACAAACACCTACACAGAACTGAAGCGCGCAGCCGAGGGGCCTGTGATGACTAATGTGTTGGGGGTGGGAGTTAATTTTTGAGCTCTATCAAAAGTTCTGGGGACCATGGGATACTGGGGTGGGGAGGCAATTTCACAAATGTGAATGGAGGCAGAGGGAGTAGTAAAATATGGCTTGATGTGGGTAGCACCGCATACGCTTGGCTCAAAGGCGCGCCACGTTACAAGATGAGAAGCTGTCTGTCCCGTAACCGTGAACTTCGCTGTGAACTTCATTAGTTTAGCATTCGTGATCATCGGGTGGAGGCAAGAGGGACATCTATCTTTGTATAATCTATGAATACAAAACACTGAAGTAACAATAGTATAAAGAAAATTGCTGGGGGAATGGTCATCCGTCAAAAGCAAACATTTATTGTTTACTGTGTACCAGACTTTGTGCTGTTTTCCCATTTACCCTCTGACTGAATTCTCACATTTACCACTCGATGAGGAATATATTTTCTTATTCCCATTTTACAGGCGAGGCGGCTGAGGCACCAGCATGTTGATGAACACGCCGAGGGTCCCACAACTAGTTCGCCTCACCCTCAGCCGCCAGAGTGTTGGCCTTTACCCGCTTTACTGTCTCAAGAAAACACGCCACTTCGGGGGATTTAAAAAGTTCACATCCACACAGCAATCGAACAGCAACATTTGCCAAGTTTTGTAAATGCAACAACAGAAATGTCTGCAGCTTGAGTAGAAAACCACCTCCAGGCTATTTCTTAACTAGCCCACTGACTCTTTTGGAGGGTCAAAGAATCAGGCCCGGGGGCGGGGCACAAGGCCAGGAGTGAGGTCCGAGCGACAACCATGGGTGTTTCAGGCTGGCAAGTCTCCCCAGCAACCCCGGGAAGGGGCACTGCAGCCAGGACGTTGGCCCCTGGGGCTGCAATGGATGCTTCTGGGGCGCTCCTGCAGAGGGCGGCTTGTCCCTTTACTCCCTTCTGGAAAGTCTGATCCGAGCGTGCAGATGGGGTCGCACGCCTGCAGCCGGCTGTGGGGAGGCTGGGACCTAAGAGGTCTCACGCAGGGGAAGGGGGTCCCCCAGCGCCGCACAGCCAGAATCGGGAGACAGCACACTCAGGGTGGCACTAGCAAATCCCGCTGGCTGTCCCCTTTCCCAAGAGCTCCTGCTGACTCTAAGGAGGGTACTTTGTGGCCTGGCATCACCCTGGGGCTGTGGCAAGGTGGGACAGGGAGCCAGGGATCATACTCCTGGCTCGACTCTTCACTAGTCATGTGACCCTGGGCAAGTCCCTGCACCTTCTCAACACGGAGATGGGAATTATGAGACCAGCGCCCAGGGTCACGGTACTGACTGGGGGACCCGTGAGATATGCTCCAACAGCACTGTAACCCACCCTATCTCATGCGAATGTCAAGGGTCACTAAAGTCGAACCTGATGCACTTGTATTTCTCATTAACTGAGATACAACTATGTCCGCGCTGGCCGGCTGATCTGCTTTACTGTAAGTACATGAGTGACTCTGCTATAGCGAGAAGCGTCTTGGACTAAGAATGTGCACATCAGTTCCAAATGAGACTCTGCATATGGTGGGAGAACAACTCGATGCCCGTGAGGTCCTGTGAAAGACCACTTCCAGCAGAGGCCCACTCCAGACTTGGCTCCGGAGTGAGCAGAGCCACTTACCACGGATGTTTCAAAACATTCCAGGCCTTGGCCCAGGGCCCATGCCCGGGCCTGAGCTGAATCCACCGCTCGTCTGCTGGCCAGGTCTGCCTTGTTCCCCACTAGCACACCTACTCGAAAGAAACAACCAGAGCATCACATTTAACTGTGGCGGCCTGGGAGGATCGCTGGAGAGATGAAAGGGCAAGCACGCTAATTTTGAGGGGTATAAAACATTGTCAGGGAGAGGCCGCCCGATTCGAGGTGCTGAGCACGGGGGGGGCGGGGGGAGAGAGAGGGAGAGGCTCCAGGGCTGCCCCCCCTACCCCCACCCCAGTGGGCTTTGCTTTTCACATGCAGCTTTTGCTTGGCCCTTTTTCCAGATTTCACGCGGATCTGTCCGCCCTGTCTCCTTCAGGCTGCAAGGCGAGGGCCAAATTTATGTGAGCATTTGTGATAATTCCTAGCACATGGAGCAAACGTTAAAAATGGTCATTAATACTAATCTAAGGACTGGGCTCAGAGTCAGGGACTCAGAGGTAATTTAGAGCCGTTCCCAGCTGCATCAGCTGCAGCTAATTTCTGAGCTCGTCTCTGGAGATCGCTTTCCCTGGTCTCTAATGAGGGGAATTTGTTGATCTCACATAGGGATGAAAAATAAACTGATTTAAAGCATTCAGAAGTGACAATAGGACTTGAATGTTTACTTGCGCCCCATATACAGGAGAAAATGAGGAATTCATCCCCGGGGCTAGCTTTCAGAAATAAAAACTCATTCATATCACAGCACCTTCCCCATATTATTCTTGAGTCTCCTCTCCACAACCCTGCGGCAGGGTGGGAGGGGGGGTGGCGGGCGTCATCGTGCCCATTTTACAGACTCACAGAGGTGTGTGCCGTAACTCACTGAGGTTTCCGGGGCTCCTAAGAGGCAGAGTCACTGTACAATGCAGGCCACAATACTCTAAGCCGGGGACACCGCACCCTCTTTTCTACCCGTAGCCACCTCTGCAATGACCTTGAGCTCGTGAACTCGAGGGCAGAGGTGCTGGAAGTCCCACAGCCGACGGCAGCTCCTACCTGGGAGGGAGGTGCCTGGAATCTGTGACCGAGCCTTCTCCAGCCACTTGCTACAGTTGGTGAAGGACTGCTCGTTGGTCACGTCATAGACGAGACACAAGACGTTGGGACTCTCCCACTGTGCCAGGGGGACAGGACGAGCACATCAGTAACAGTGAAAGCGATTTCTAGGCTGGCCTTCTGAGGGAAGCGGGGGTGGGGGGCGGTGGGATGAAAAACTATAATGGGGATGGGAGTCAGGAACCTGAGCCCACCCACAGGAGAAAGCAGTTCACCCACAGGCACCAACGGGAGGGCTGGGCTGAAGGCGAGGGCGGGGGCTCACCTCTGCACCAGGCTGCTGGCTGGGCAGCGTGCTGTGTGTGGCTGAGAAACCTCCCAACTTTGCAGGGCTGGTCTCAATATCCCTACTGAGCTCGGAGAGGGTAACTGACTTGCCCAGATCAGACATGCTTTAAAATCGGGCAGGACTGAGGCTTTTTCTACCCAGAAATGCTTTTGCCTGCCACTGGTTTCATTCATTCATTCTCTGTCGCATTCCTCTCGAGGGCCCACTCTTATGCCAGTTATTTCGTTTTTCTGCTTTGCAGGCCTAAAAAAGCATCCTTTCTTCCATTAGCCAGCCCCTGGAAGCTTGTTTGCTGGCATCTTCTTAATAAGGGCTGGCTTTTCAAAATGCAAAGAGCACTTTCTGCTTCTCCTGCAGTGTATCAGCCCTAATCCAAACCAGACTGACAACTGGACAGGGCTCGCTGTCCCAATTAAGAAGCAGGGCTCTGCTCTCAGAGGCTGTGGCCTTCAGGGGCTGCTCAGAGTCCTGGGACATCCTGCTACATGGCACAAGGCCACAGGACGGCCCTGCTCAGAGGCTGTGATGCTTGTCCCGGTGTCGGAGGCTCTTGCCATGCCCCAGTCTCTGGGGACCCCCATCCTGCACAGTTACAGCCTGGTTTATTTCTGGTGTCAGTAACCTCCCAGGGTGTGGGGAGGAATCCTTTTCCCTCCAGTTGTCCTTGGAAGGCTGGTCTAGGATTGGCTCTGGAGGGCTCACTGTACCCCAAGGCTATGCTGCCACTTTGACCGAACTGATGAACACGCCCCCCCCCCCCACAGCTTCACTCTGCAGACTAACTCAAGAACTCTTGCTAGAACCACAATGACCTCTCCTTTGTGCATGCAGGGGACACCTCCTCCCTCTAGGCCTCAGTGAGGGCACCCAGGAGAGGCCTGGGATCAAGCTGGAGCCAGAGCAGGCACCCAGTGTCAGGGCTGGCTGGAAGCAGGGGCTGGGCTGATCGGTACTGCTCTGGCTTGCCCAGACACACCCTTCTGCCCAGTAGGGCCTTGCCCAGTGGGAGGCCATGCACACAGCGGCACGTTGTAAGCATCACAGATGGATGCGTGAAGCCAAGCCCATGAGAAATGACCGTCATTACATCTATTTCTCTTAGACAACAAAAAAGGGGCAGAAAACAGTTTCTATTAAAATGTAGCCGTTCTTGGAAAGGCAGGGGAGGGCTCTGGAGAGCTCAAACCTCCTAATTAGCTCACTGGCCCAGATTAGCGGAACTGTTACCTTGGAAGGTACATTGAGCTGGATCCTTGTGAGGATGGCTGGGTGGGCCAGAGAAGCCCCTGGTGGCCGCACGCGCAGGTCCCAGAGCAAACCCCAGGCTGGGCCCAGGAGGTGGGAGGGGAAGGTGAGCCTTGCTATGGGGCCTCCAGGGTGCCCCCTAGAGGGGAAGGAAATGTTTGCTTCCACCCTAGGAGGTTGGGGAGTGCTGACTGTGCACCAACGGGAGGGAGCTGGTGAAAGAAGGGGGGCCCAGAGCGCTGCGGGGACTGAGTCACACAGCTCGGGCACATTTGGAACCTGGCCATTCCGGAGCTGGGGGGAGGGGAATCATGTGCACGAGCCAGTCCTCCTGGCCAAGGGGCCGTGAGTCTCAAGGCTGGGAGGACTGCCCCTGAAATAATTCAGCCATGGTAGCTTCTCTTGGCAGCCAGACTGCAGTGACATTTCTGGGAGAGCATGGAAGGCGGAAACTTTGTGGTGGAAGGTGGTGGTGGTGGTGGTTAGGAAAAAGATCGCACGCTACTTGCCAGTTTATCCAGGATTTCAGAAAACAGCTCCTTGCCGGCAGAGTCAAAAATGAAGAGTTCCTAGAACCAGAAAGGCATGTCCCGAGAAAGTCTACATGTAGGGAAATCGCGGGCCGCGAGTCCCCGAGGTGACACTCAGCTCCCCGCAGACCTTAGGGGTGAGATACGCCCATTACCACAGAGCCTCTCTCTCTTCCCCAAGGCTCGTGGAAGATGATGTGGGAAAGGAACGATCTCGAGAGCCAGAGACAGGCAGCGCAACGGTTTCCCACACCAACTAGCACTTTCTGTGCGGCAGCTCACCTCTCCTAACCCCGAGTGCAAAAATACCAGGAACAAGCTGACTTCCCACCTGGCAGAACAGAATGCTAAACAGGCTGACAAGTGCTCTGGTTTCCAAAAGGTCATTCTGCACTTTGTTAACCAAATTGATTTTCAAATCTTAAAACAATTCTTTTTAAAGCAGGTCACTGAGTAGGCCTGGAGAAGCCGTTTAAAGTAGGACAGCCTGCCATCCTTCCCCGATGGTGGAGGGTGACCCTTCCTGCCCCTCGACCCAACCTCGGCCAGCCCATGCGAGGGCCCCTCCCCGATGTTGCTGCTCTGGGAAGTTTCCCCCTTCGGCTCCCCTGGGCACTGGATGCCCCCCGGCTGGCTTCTGACCCCGGCACCCGCAGTCTGAAGGTCAGTGCTGTAATCTGTGCTCATTTCTGCCTGCATCGGGGAGTACTTAAAAGTTGTGTTTTCTCACAGACCTCTTTAAGAAGGTGGTGATTCTTCAACCTTCTCTCCAGGACAGTACTACAAACGTAATGCCTTGCAATTCAATTTCCAGAGTTATGGATTCCAAAAAAGGGACCCGGGTTAAGAACCCTGATACTATGCTAGTTCTGTGAGCGCAGGACCCCTATCCCCGTCTTCCTACTCCCTCTTCTTCGGCCTGGGTCAGCCACGCTTCCCAAGTGCTCAGAAAAGCCTAGGCCAAGTCCTTGCACCGCTTCCCTCTTAGGGAGGATGACACTGACCACGGAGACTCTGGGCCCAGCTGGAGGAGCACTGAGCTCTCCGGGGTCAAGGGTACCACTTACCACACTGTCCCCCGTATCAGAAACTGGCACCGTCTTCACCACCAAGTCCACCCCTGTCGTCTGCGGGGGGAAAACCGAGAGTTTGCACGTCAGAGGGTCCCAAGAGGTGTGTTGCAGGACACGATGAACACCCGATGCCCAGAAGGTACAAGCACTATGTTCTGGATTTGTTGGTGCAGAAGTCAGACAGGACCGACCAGCCTCGTCCAACTTCCTGCCCACAAGGAGCGGTACATGGGGACCAAGCCGACCACCAGCTGGTCTGTTCCACAGACAGCCTCGTGCCCTGTGGCTTGTGGAAAAATGCTCTTCACGTGGCCATGCTCTCTTAGGGCTTCTTAAGGAATTCTGGAAAGTCACTCCCTCAGGGTTAGGGGACGACCGCTGCTCTTTAAGCCTGGGCCAGCCCACGACTCCCACATCTCACCAGGGTGTAGTTCTTCTGGAAATGGGCCCCGTCGCTGCGGAAGATCTGCGCCAGGGCGGTCTTGCCCACTGCTGGATCTCCTGTGAGGTCAGAGAAGAAAATCATCATTGCCATCCTGATCTGACTGGAGAATCTCGCACTCCACAACACTAGTTAGAAACCAGAAACTTCAATGACTTTTCAGAGAAAATGTACTTGATTCTCCTGGGGACTTGTGAGGTGGCTGGTGGGGCCACGGGTCCAGGAGAGCAATCTTCAAAGCCCAGTTGCGTTTCTTCAAGGGTAATCCTTTCATCCAAAAGAACTGACCCAGAAGGTAACAGAGCTTAAGGGGGGGCTTTCGAGCACTAGAAACAGAACTAACATCTGCCACTGAACACACCCCATGGGGAAAAACTCTCACTTTCAAACTTGAATTTACTTTGAAGTCTTGAAGGTAAAGGGGTGTGACCCGGCTCAGTCTTACGGGGCTCACCTGCCTAACAACCAATTCGAGTTTAGAGCTTCCATACTTGGGTCCCTGCACGCTTCTTTTAGGACAGGGCGGGATGGAAGTTGGGAGGGCTTCTGTATTTACAGGAAGCAAGAGATCAGGTGCTAAATTCATCAACCTGAAATCCATTTCCAAGTGATACGTTCTGCCCCCGCCTTCCCTGTGCCTGAGACCACTGCGGATCCATCTTTCCAGGGGCCTCTCCACGTCTATCCGCAACGGCCGCCGTTTCCTCCAGCTCACCTTATACCTACGGGGGTTTATCTCCCGGGCCTTCCTTCATGAGTCCACAGCCCCATAAATTGGTATCTCCAAACTAAAGGTTTATGGCATAGTTTCGGTCTGAGATCTGGACCTTTCGCAAGACTGTCGGGAGCGATTTAATCTGGAGGTCCTCCCTGCCCCCAAGGATGCTGAAGGCTCTCCATGCCCACCCCTAATCCCTCTGTGTGCACCACCCCTCCCCTTCCCCACAGATGGCTCTGCTCGGCTTCCTGTGACTCCACGCTGTTCTCATTTGCAAGATCTTCTGGGCCATGGGTCTGACATGGACGCTCCTTCAGAACACCTGTTTCCTGCTCTCTCACCCCCTGGCCCCTCAGCAAAACCGCCACTGCGCTCGCGGGCCTCTGACTTGAATCCTTCGGTGTGATCACCTCACCTTCGCTGCTTACGGTCAGCCCCCACGTGCCTCTTCATTTCACTTCTCCACAGCCTGCTGCTCTGTTCACTTTTCAATTTTGACTTTTCCCACCTATAATTTTCTCTTGTGAGACAATTACTTGACTACTTGTGGCATTTCATTTCCTGTGAACTCCTCCGGGACTGAGTGAGCTATTCAGTCATGCTTTTCTATTTACTGCCGCGACTTAGAAGGGAATCACGCACGAGATTCCCTCCTTCCCAGCCCCTACCGTCACCATCATTAACCTCATTTGGCAGATGAAGAGTCCGAGGCTCAGAGAAAGCTGGGTAACTGGCCCAGACTTCCAACATCTCACTCTTCCCGCCAGACCCCACTCCTCCTCTCCTAGAGCTCAGGGACACTCCTGACCCATCTCTAACACTGCCCCTCCAGGCCCCCATCACTGCAGCCTCGCCTGCCATCAGGGGCGACCGCGGGCTGGACTGTGGCCGGGTACCCATCCATCTCCAAACAAACAGAGCGTATCACTCTCCTTCTTGCGCTCTGACTGCATCCACCCTCCGGACTCCAATTTTGCTTCTGAATCCAGTTGGAAATTGGCTCTTCCTGCTTGTGAAATTCCCCACGGATTTATTTGTTCTAGTTAATTTCATAAATCTTTCTTCCGACTGTCAGTCAGAGTCACCCACACTTACGGAAAGCCTCGCGTGCCGGCTGAGGAGGGATCCAGCAGAGGGAAGGGAAATGCTGATAAACACATTTGCAGAGCAACACGATGACAAAGTGCAAAGGCAAATAGCACAAGCTGAGAACCAAAGTGTCTGAGGGCGCATCGAGGAAAGAAATGAAGGCGCAGTTTCATCAGCGAGCAGACTCCCCCGGGGCGAGGCTGAGCCTGGGGTGACGGCAGGGAGGGGCACTGCTGGACAGAGACGGTGACATGGGCAAAGGCACGATGCAAGGTCATCTGTGACCTCCTAATTGCCAAGTCCGATGGCTTTTCTCAGTTCTCTCGCTCCTTGACATCTCTGAAGGATGAGTCAGCCCAAAGCAGCCCCCTCTTTCCCGAGCCCCCTGGCTCCGTGGCCCTGGTGTCCTGGCACTGGTCTGGTTCTCCCACCTCCGAAATGTGGGCACTCCTGTGGGTCTCTCCTTGGCCCTCTGCTCCCAGTTGCTGTCCCGTTTACTCTCTGTCCCCTGTCACCTCTTGGGTCAGGATCTCTCTCCCATGCTTTGTCTGTATCTCCAACAACGTGTGGATGGTTCCACTAGAATGTTGGGCCTTCACCCAATCTGTTTGTTGACAGCCAGGCTCGTGTCGCACCCCCAGGTCCCAAGTGCTCTTGCTCACGCATCTCACTGGTTCTGCTCCCGTCTCCATTTGCCCACACTTCCCAGCTGTACCCAGTCACCTCAGACCGCATGTCCCCACTCCTCCCACGCCCTGCGCTCTCCTCCCCACTTCTGATGTCCTTTGCTGAGTTTCAAGCCCGCATGGCCTTTGTTGTCACTGCTGATACTGCACGAGTTACCTCAGACCTCAACCTGGGCTCTGTGCCCTGCCTTGGGATGCGGGAGCAGGGACTCTGCAAACATGCGTCTCCTTTGCCAGGGGCTTCCTGTCCGGCTCTGCCAGTGCGAGTTCTAGAAAAAGACTGGCAGCTGGGAGAGGGGGGATGGGCTTGCCCCTTTCCCACCTGCCTGCTGCGTCCCTTAGCAGCACCCTGGCAATGGCCTTCATCCCAGCAGTAGGTAGTAACTTCTCTCCAGTTTGTTTGTTTTTTTTGTATTCCCAGACCAGCCTTATTATTCCCTCTCAGAGATGCCAGCATCGCGGGGCAGTGCCCCCTTCTCAGAGATCTACATCTCCGCTCCCCAGGGCCCTCCTGAACTTCTGATGTCCCTTCATCCTTCCAGGTCTCCAGTACCTGTTTGATGGACATCCTGCATGAATTCTCACCGGTGTAGTACCTAATGCAGGTTCTGCTTTTTTGCCTGCACCCTGACTTCTGTTGCATTGGTAGCAAGAGTGGTCTCAAAACCCAGACCCGCAGCATGGTCCGGAATGGATTTGGTCATGTCTTGCCTGAACATGGGGCCCAGCTCCCTGCCAGTGGGGAATGGGGCCTAGTGATCCGTGGCATCACATGGTGGGCGACTGAATTCTTGAGGTCCCATCCCAGCAGAGCTGTGCCCCCTCCTCAGGAATCTGGATCCCAGTTCTGTGGGCTTCTTGCTCAAGCCTCTGATAACCCAACCTCTATCTACCACTTCCGTGTCATCTCAATGTTTTCTTCTTGCTTTTCCATTCTCCTCCATTTGGAGAAATGGAACCGTTGAACCAATTCCGTGGAATAAAATGCCTAATGTTATTTTCTGTTTTCTTGACCGGGTCTTGCCTGAAGGACTCCCCACCTGCCCCTCTCTGCTTTTCATTTTTCTCTTTGTTCTAACCTCCCTGTCGGCACCAACAGATGGACCTTTCCAAGATCGAGTTTGATCCTGTGACGCTCTCATGAAGAAGATGCCTTCTACTGTGTACCCCTCTCTACCGTCAACCCTGAATCCACCTCCAATTAGCTCTCTGACTATCCCTTACACCGAATCTGGACCCTACACTCCTACTCTCTTGCCCTTTGAGAATCCCTCAAAGGTAACTTCCTTCTAGGTCTCCCTGCCCAAGTCCAGATTCTCTGCCCGGCAAGGCTCCGTGTCCTTCCCCCACTGCCTCTGAAGGCCATCCCTCCCTCTTGCTTTTACCTGTGAGGCTCACTGCTGGTAGCATTAGACTTGATGTCGGAGCCACCTTCTGGCAAGGCACTATTATCATCCCCACTTCCATCAAGGGGGAGTAAACTGTGGTACTTAGGGCACACCCCAGCTCTGCCACTTACTAGCTATGGGACCTTGGGTCAGCGATCTCCCTCGGGGCCTCAGTTACCACTTCTGCATAAAGGGAAGAATAGCACCTGTCTCGCAGAATTGTTAGGAGGATTTAATGAGCTAATATGTGCAGTACCTGACATTTTTGAAGTTATATTTAAGTGATTTTTAAGTAAATAAAACAGATAAATGCCAAGGGTGTAGTCCCTCCTCATCTCCTCGTCTGAGCCAAAACAATTAGCAGCCATGCCCTGAGGCATTTCTCTGGTATCTGGCACACAAAGGGCATTCTATTCGTGTTTGTTCCATTATAAATTATTCTCCCCAAATCTCAGCACTGCCACGAGTGTAGGGGCTGGCCTGGTTCATCCCTGCATTCCCGTTATACCTTGCACGGTGACTCACACAGAGCAGGTGCTCAGTAAATATCTGTTGAATGAATGAGCACTTGAACTGAATATCAGGCCCCTCAATGACCAGTTATAGGAGAGAAAAAAGACAGATAAACTCAATTTAAACAGTAGGCCTGGGAAGAGAAAGGAAAAATAAACCCAGTGAGGGGAGTGTATGCGGTGGGGGCGGTGTGGAGAACGAGAATTTGGTGGGTGGTGGTGAGGGGGTGGGGACCTGATTCATTGTGCTGAGGTCTTTTTGGTTTCTGGAAACTACCAAGAGGAAATGCCCTCAAGGCCCTGAAAGGAGGCTGCAGTTGAGGACTAGACTGGAGTTCAAGACTCACTTACTCAGGCAGTGGCTGAAATCAGGTGAAACAGTGCCCGAGGGAGTGCGCATAAAGAGGGGCAAAGAGTCTAGACTTGAGGCTGGAGGACAGAAGAGCTGGGGGGCTAAAAACAAAGCCCTGGAAATCAGACCACCCGGGTCTGGATGCCAGCTCTGCTGCATCCAGCTGTGCGACCCAGGGCTAGTGTCTTAACCTCTCTGGGCCTCCGGTGCCCCAGCTGTAAATGAGGATGACAGCAATACCGATCCCACAGGGTTCTCGTGAGGATTCACTGAGATACCTGTGTTGAGGGTTCCTGTGCAGTGTTGGCACACAGAAGATGCTCAGTAAGTGAGTCCCATGATGGAAGCTGAATTAAGAGATGAGAGAAAGAGATAAGAGAAAGAATAAGAGAATAAGAGAAAGAACAGTTAGAGAGAGAAGCGCACATAAGAAAATGTACAACTTCAGAAAATAAAAAACGTTCTCACCTTATCTGCAAGGAAACTGAGGCTCAGAGAAGTGCTGTGTCCAAGATGACAGAGCCGATCAGAGGAACAGCTGAATTACTTTTGTTACATAATACTACCTCCCCTGGGCTCTGGAAACTGGAGACCTCTCCTGAGAACCACTGATCTTTTTTTTTTTGCTCCAGTATGATCTCAGTTACTATTGTCAGTCATCTTTCTGTGTGGGCCTTTTATTTTCAAATTAGAAAAGCCATTAAAAATAGCATCAATTTCAGTCTGGAAGAGAGGAAGCCCAAAAGGCATCTCTTTTTCCTCCATATAGTTTCTTACCATTTCTTTCCTGAGCTGGTCAGGGAACCCTGGAGAGAGGGCGGGGTTCAACGGTAACACAAGTGAAGAGTTTTGGAGTTGGGCAGGTCTGGGGGCTGAAATCCTGCCTATGACTTTCCTTCGCTGTGGGGCGGGGGGGTGACCTTGGCCAAGAGACTTGACCTCTCAGTGCCTCAGTAAGAGCAGAACAATACAGCCCCTATTCCAGTGTGCTCTGGTGAGGGGACTGAATGAAGTACCCATGCCTGACATGCACTAAGGACTCAATAAAGTACATCTATGTTCAGGGGCCCCAGGTCAAAACCCAGGCAAATATTTTCCTAAATGTGCAGACAAATAAAGGGAACACCACAAATGTGAATGTCACATTGTCATGCATGCCACACATAGTTACTGAGTACCTCTTGGGTTCCAGATACTGTTCAGGATGCTTGAGATACAGGAGTCAACAAAACGAAGATCCCTGCCTTTGGGGGATTCAATATTCGTGTCCTCCTGAGTGTGAGGCAGCACAGTAACTCTGGCTCTTAAAGACAACACACATGGGCCTGTTGCAAACTCTGGTCAACTGTACATTACTGTCTCCAATCCCTGTTATCAGAGGGGGTGGGGTCAGGAAAAAAAAATCCCACAAGTAAAGACTTCCAAAGTCAGTGATACCTGACTTTGGGATACAGCACATAGTTTAGATGAAACACTTATGGTGTGTTTAGCCTGACTTTTTTTTTTTTTTTTTTAACGAGTCTATTCCTCCTGAACACAGCTCAAAAACTGGTGAAGGTGGTCTCAGAGTATGGCAGGGATTGGGGAAGTCAGCTGGAGCTACAAATGTGCTCTGGAAGATAATTCTCCCACCCTAATGGAGTTTACTCTATCAGTAATTACATTAACTCGCTTTTGGAAGAGACAAAAAAGGGAAAGAGGGTAGGCAATTTAGGAGAACAAAAGCTCTCAATAACTTACGAAGTCTCTGGACTCCGGAGACTGTAAATTTCAAACTCACCTGCCAGGATGCATTTGGCCGCCAGCTTCACCATGGTAACCAACCACCTCCGCGGACGAGACGGGAAGAGCGGCTGCTAGAGGCGTTGGGGGGCTTGCCTGGGAAGGGAAGTGGGGAGAGGAGAGGCTCAAGGGGCCTGTGGCCGCGGTGGGGACAGGGACAATGGGGCCCGGACCTGCTGGGCTGGGCTGGGGGCGGCTATCGGGCGCTAGGACTGGGGCGGGGGCGCGGAGGAGCGCCAGATGGGGCTCGGCTCAAGGCCTCAGAAGACGGCCTTGGAGGTGCGAGCGAGGCGACGCGGCTCCCGTTCCCAGCCCAGCCTCGACAGTGGGGACCGAGAAGTATGACCCCGCAAGCCTGCAGCCCCAACCCAAACACAGTGCCAGAGGCGCTCCCGCTCACCCACCGCCCGCCTGCCCCGCCTCCTCCTCCTCCCCGCTGACCCGCGATTGGCTGCCACCAAAAGCTCCCGCCCCGAAGGCTCTCGGAGGCCAGTGGGAGGAGGGGGCGGGGCTAACAGGCCTCCCTTGACGGACAGTTCTTAGTGGTATTTGTGTTTCAAGCTCATCGCGCTTGACGAGTGGTTACGTGAGACGTCAATCATTACTACTCCCGCCCCCGGGCCGCCGGAAAGTTCGCGGGACTGAAGCTCCAGTCTCCGTAGCCAGAAGCAGTGATAAGAGAAGCTTTCTGATTGGCCAGAAGTTGGCTTGGACCATCTGCGGGTGGAAGGGGGATTCGCCGCTCCCCCCCCGCCCTTTCGGAAGTGAGTTCGCCCACGAGGGGCCCGTTGAGCACGCGGGAGTTTGCAGCTGCGCCTGCGCAGTAACGAGGTCGCAGTTTCCGACGCGGAGCTGTGAGCAGGTTACGCTTCGCAGAGAGTCTTGTGGCTCAAGTTCGCGGGCACCCGGGAGCAAGGCCGCGTGGTGCATCAAGAAATCCGGTTCTTGCCCCACATCCCGCAGGGAAGTCCGATTTTTTAAAGCCCAACGATATTATGCGCTGTAAGATCTAAAATAGGACCGTGTTTATAGTGATGTCTGTGAACAAGAGGGAGAGCAAGTAAACTTTGCCCCGGGCGAGGATTGCTCTCCGGAATGTGAAGTCCTCCTTTCCGCTGAGCCCACTTCCTCGCTTGTACAATGGACGTGTGACCGCCCCCCCCCCCCCCCCCGAACAAAAGCGGGCCTCCAGGACCTTGCCTGTCGCTCAGGAAGGCTGCGCCCATCTCCGCACGCTTCTCAGGGAGGTCCCTCTTGCTGGGCGGTCAGAAAACCAGGCCGAAATCCCCACCGTCTTCCTGGCATGGCGCGTCGCCTCACCCTGAGCCTCTTCGCTCATCTTTGAAGATCGGCCAGCAGAACCCGCCTCTGGGGTTGTCCTGAGGAGTACAAGAGGGGAAAGATGTAGGGGCCCGGGGCACAGTAGGTGCTCAACAGTGATTGTCGAATGGATGAAAGAGAAGAAATTTATCTGGACAGATTTGGCTTATCACCATCACGGTGATGACATCGTGGCCAGATGCACCCACGAGGTCACTCCTGCTGACTCCCCCCCGCAGGGTGGCTGGCGCTGAGAGGGAAGAGCAGGCCCTGGGCGAAGGTGCCTGTGCTTGGGGTTCCCATCACGAACCGCTCCTTCACCAAGCACTTCTCTCAGCTGCCCTGTGACTTTGTGTGGCTGCCAGCCGCGTGCAGGGCAGTGAACACATGCACACTCATCAAATTGCTAAGAACATTTTAGTTCCGATTCTGGAATGAAACAATGCAAGTTGCCTGGAATTTTCTTTCCTTGGGAATCATTCCTGGTATTATGGTTGAGGCCTCTCTGCCTCTCCCTCGTTCTTTTTACCTGCTTTTCTTTTTTGAGGACATCATGCACAGCTGTCTCAGGCACCTCAGGCCTCGGTGAGTCAGAATGCCTCTGCCTGGTCTTCCTGCTCCCCCTCCAGGCTGTCCTGTCCATCGTCACCCTGCTAATCCCTTCGAGGACCCCTTGAGTGAGTCCCCCTCCTGAGGCAGCTGCATGGAGCTGAGACACTGAGCTACATATGAGGGGAGCCTTCTAGAGCCCCCATTTCCTCCAAGGGGGTAATGGCACTTCCCTCATAGGCTGTTGTCCTCTGCACCACATCCACTCTCCCTCTCATTGTCACTCTGTGATTTGGGTCAGCATTTTGGATTTTTCCAGCGAGGTGCTAAACTGTGTATAATGAATTCTACCCCGCTTACTCCACAATCCCAAGAGCCTTCTATATATTCTTAATGACTAATGACAGCTGCCTGACTGTCCCTGGTTTTAAAGCGGTCAGAGAGTTTTGGAGCCATGAGGGCCCTTGAGAAATTCTAGTCTGACCCCTCCCTGAGCTGCTGTAGTGGCTAAAGCTGGCGTATGTTGAGCACATGATGAATGCTGGCCTCATCCTGAGCACCGTAAAGGCGTGATTAATTTAATTTTCATGTTCGTATGTGATATTCATAATAACTCCTGCGAGGCTGGTATCATCCCTGTGTGATAGATGGGGAAACTGAGGCCCAAATGAGGAAAAGGCTAACACCCAGAGTCACAAAGACAGTGAATGGCGGAACTAGGTTTTGAACAAAAGGAGATTGTCAAGCCCGTGGTGTCGACAGGAGCCTGTCCTTCCTCCACTGCCTCTCACATTTCCTTCCATCCTAGAGAATAAATTTATTGAGTTCCTTTGCAGTAATAGGTCATGTCAGTTGAGCCTCATATGCCAGGCATGTGCAAAACACTTCACATCCTCTCTCGTTGCTGCAATGACTCTGAGAAGTGGAAACTGTCATTACTTCAGTTCAACAGGCAAGAATCTGAGGTCCATGGGCAGCCCAAGGTCCTGCGACTTACCAGCTGGAGTCAGAACAGACCTCAGGTCCTGTTCTTGGGACTGATGTCTTTTTCCATTTCCCGCTGCAATCTTCCCAGTTTCATTAATAAGCTTTCCTTGAGTGCCTGCCCTAGGCCAGGCCCTGGGCTGGTGGCCGGGGCTACGAAGTGAGGGTGACAAGAATCCCAGGCATCTCTGTCAGACTGTGGTCCCGTGGGAGTGCTGGCCAGTGTTGCAGGCCTGTTTTCTAGAGGAGGCCGGAATCTGGATTTTGTGTGAAATCCCCTGACTCTGAAATGATCTGCGCCTGCTTGTGGTTAAGTGTTGAGCGGGAAACGATTTGTTGCACGAAGAAATAATACTCTTTGCTGTGGTTCCCGGACTAGCAACATCAGCCCCGCCCCGCAACAGGGACTTGTTGGAAATGCTCATTCCCAGGCCCCACCCAGGCCAACTGAACACGGGGTAGGAACCACAGTCTGTTTTCATAAGCCTTTTTGGTGATTTTGATGCATGCTATTGTTTGAGGACCTCTGCTCTTAGGTCATGGTAGGACCCACCTTTATCCATTTTCTCTGTTTTACTGTTTCTCAGACTCCCCAAGACCCTTCCTAACTCAGGGCCTTTGCACTTACTATTCTCAACGTGGCTGCATGACTCTTTCCCTCAAACCTTCAGATCTTTGTTCAAATGTCATCTCCTTGGAGAGGCCCTCCCAAGCACGCAATTTAAAGAATCACTCCCAATCTGTTGGTCTCAATCTCTTTGCCTTATTTTACTTTCTTCATAGCACTCCCCACTACCCGATATTATATCCTGTACTAGTTATTTGTATAGTATCTGTCTCCCTCCACTAGGAGGTAAGCTTCACGAGGACAGGGACTTGGTCTCTTTTGTTCTCCCAAGATCTTGAATGGCGCCCAGCCTGGTGAGAGACTTGGTAAATATTGTTGAATGAAGGAAGGAGTCTTCTAGAGTTTACCTTTCTGGTCATTCATTTATTCATTCTACAGGTACTGATTCTTGAGTACCAATTCTTGTGCAGGCAACAGGCTTGTTGGCCATGGCCATTCAGATGGGGACAGCCTGTGGCCTGGGTCCTCTGCTGCCTCCCACCCCTCGTACACCAGCTCCAGATCTGTAGAACCTCCAGAGCCTACAGACCCATAGGCTCTGTGGAATTGGAGGGGTTAAATAACACTGCTCCCCAAAGCCGGGGACTGGGCTGTTTGGGCTGATTTGGAAGCGAGGGCTTTGGGGGAGGCAGCTGCTGACAAGTTCCCAGGGACTGTTCCATCATCCTGGGGCTGGATGCTTCCTGACAGCCCTGACACACAGCGTGCGCCCAAACTGCGGCTTGCTGCCACAGACAGCCGCAATATTCCACGCATGTGCCCGGGCCGATCGTGCCCACTGTGGCCGAGTCCTTCCACCGTTGCTCCAGGGGGTTCTCCTCTGCTTGGGCTGCTCCTCAGAGCCCCCGTCGCTTGTAGAGTAGATTATGAGGAGGATTGTTGGGTGCAAAACAACCCCTTTGGATAAATAAGAGGCTTTAGGGGAAATTAGTGGGGAAAACCTCTTGAGAGTTATCCAGCATGAAGCTTCGAGAAGAATACGTTTCATGCAATAAAGCAGATTTGCTCTAATGCCCTCATGTTAGGGGGGCAAGGCAAAAGAGGACTAGTAGATTTGGGGGAATTTTATGTATTTTGATGAGGGCTTCTTTACCTTGGCACTATTGACATTTTGGAGGATAATTCACTGTTGTGGGGGGCTGTGCTAGGCATTATAGGTGTGTGGTAGCATCTTTGGCCTTTACCCACTAGATGCCAGAATCATCCCCCTCGTTGTGACAACCCAAAATGCCTGCAGATATTGCCAAATGTCCCCGGGTGGCCAAAATCACCCATGGATGAGGACCACTGATGTGTGAACTCAATGAGTAAGGAGTATTGGTTTTAAAATTGAAATTTGCAAGGGCCGGGACTCAGACTTGTCCGGGTTCAGATCCTGCTTTGCTTCTTAAGTTCTGTTTTGTCATCCCTGCTCCTGTGGGGGCCGCACGGATCAGCCGGGTTAACACCCAGAAGGGGTCTAGAACAGCACCTGACAAGGAGTAGGACTCACTAAACACCAGCCCTTACTAACAGCGATCGGGATGCTGATGAATCCCCCTTAGGGTGATCTGTAATGCAGCCTTGGCGTCTGTTTGACAGTTTCCTACGATGCACTGTGTCTCATCTGCCTCCTGGTGTGCCGCCTTCTTATGGTAATGACCTTTGCTGTTCGTTTCTCTGCTGTTCACGTGGGCTTGGTTGTTTATGTCTCCACTGATGCAATGCCTGGCGGTGGCCATCTCGATAAAGGGCAGAGGAAATGTGACGGACTCACCTCCTGTGCGCCTGGAATGCAAAGTGGAGCCTTGAGCTGTGTGGCCTCGGAAGTGCACGGAGGCTGCGATGTCCTGATTCCGTCAGCAGGGGGCAGCAGCAGCTGGGAAAATGCCTGTTGCGGGAGGGAGCCAAGGGCGGCCTTCGCGGTTGCGTGTATTTAAAGTGGAGCAAATCATCCCTCCAGAGCCACCCGCGGCCTCCTTTAACAGCCCGCGATAGCTCATCTGCGGGAGCCAAGAGCTGCTTTTCTAGAACATTCTACATTTAGCATCTCTGTCCTCTTCCAGATGGCTCAGTCTGAACCCAGGCCAAATTCTGCTAGGGGCAAAGTTAAGCTGGTTCCTGTTGCTCCCTGTGCCTTTGCCTCTCTGCTTACTCCACCCTGTCCTGTCCACTTGTCTGAGTTGACACAGTGCCTTATCTAAGGCATCCCGGCAGCTGCACCCCACGCTCAGGCCCCGTCTTAACCGTGTTCCCCATCTCCCCCTCCCACAAACAGCATTCCAGAGTCTCATTCTCTCACAGTTTCCCTGCATTCACTCTGGACCCCCTCCACCGCATTTCCTCCATAGCAGCCGGGGACATCTTTCCAATTTTGAATAGACAGTCTCTTCTCTACGTTTAAAATGTAAAAGGTGGAAGACAACGGTACAGAGAACGTTCCCTCCCAGCCGTGACCACAGGCCTGCAGTTCCCAGCCCTGGGGCCACTACTCTTAACAGTTTCCTACACTTTTCAGATATTTTATGTGCCTGGCAGCAAATGCACATGAACATTCTTTCTTATCCTTCCCCTCCTCCTTCCCCCTATGAATAGAAGCTGTCACACACACTCTCCTGCACTTTGCTTTTTCTAACAATATACTTTGGAGAGGCTCCATGTCAGCACCCAAAATGCCCCTCATTCCCCCCCCCTTTTTTTTATGCTTGTGCAGAGAGTGGTCTTTCTAAATCTTGTATTTCCACTGCAACTCCCTCAAAGACTTCCTACTGTTTTTCCCAAACAGCTGTTAGGCCTGGTGAGCTGGCCTTGGCCTAGCTCCCTTTCTGTGTCTAGGGCAGGCTGGCTTAATCCATCTTCAAACTTGACCTGCCTCTCCTGCCCCAGGGCCTTTGCCTCTGCTGTCCCCTCCTAACCTAGTTTGCCCCCACTGTGCTTTTCTCGGCTCAACCACTACTTATGCCCTGTGTCCTGTACATCCCATAGCAGTGGTGACTGTTGTTTAAACACAGTGATTCATCATAGGCTCTAGACCAGAGTCCTGGGGTTCACATCTTGGGCACTTTGTAGCTGTGGGACCTTGGGCAGCTTGCCACACCTCTGCCAAGTGCCATGGGAGCGAAAATAGATCCTTCATCCTGGGCTTTGGTGTTGAGGATTCAGGGACTGGACGAGTAAGCACAGAGCAAGCCTCCATGCCCGTGGTGATTGGAGGGCATCTTTTTCACCTACTGAGTGCTAACCCCTGAGGGCGGGGACCATGTCTTCCTCATAGGCATCACATCCCAGTGCCTGGTATAAAACAGGTATTCTATAAAGATGGCCCAAATCTACTGGGCATACTTACAGATTAGAAGGAGTCTCAGTACGAGCCAACAGTAGTTGTGCCAGGCTCCTCCTTAGATTGTTTTACCCCATCCCCACAACAACCTTGACAGGTAGGTAA